TAGATGAGATGGTAGACACAACGTTGAATGAATTTGGATTAGGGAATGAATTTGTCGGAAAGGAATTGAAATCTGAGGGTATTGTCGTAGAATGTAAAATCTTTGAGTGAATGAATTTATTGGAATTGAAAGGATTCCATCAGTTTTATTCCATGAACCAAACATTGTATTTGGACAATGGTCAAAGGATTTGGCCATTCCAATTCCTTTCAATTCCATCCAAATCCTTGAACCAAACAGCCACTTACAGCCATGAAGGTTCACATGTAATAACTCCAGGAATCACGTTATCGCCCACGGGATTAGTCGGTGTGCGTAAGCCGGCCCGACCACCCACGGTTATCCAAAAAAATCCTGATTCATTATTTATTTTATTCTTTGTTCATTTCGATTGCATTTTATGGTTTTATGGTTGTAAAAAAGTGAGAGAGTTTTCGATTGGTTATCAGTTATATAACTTAAAATCAGTATTATCTTGAAAAGGTAAAAAAAATGTCAAGTTGTCAACAAAATTTAAATAACCATGCAAAGGAAATATACGAAATGCGAGAAAATCGTTTAAAGCAAGTAAATAACACGAGAGATTTATCGATGTGATAATGCATGTTCACATAAAGAAGGAATATTGTTTATATTTGCATAAATTATTGAGAGGCACAATAGTTTGCTTATAATAACTGTAGAAGTGTAACAACCATCCCACTTGGATAGAGGGTGATATTTGTGAACTCATTTTAAGAATTTAGCTGTCGGATATTGCATCATAGTTTTAAGTTGATTTGGAGGTTACTGGATCAGTCTATTGTTGGAACTTTGGGTATTACATATAGTATCAGAGTCGATCCTTGTACCATCAACATAGTGGGTCAAGCCTTATCGAGCATCATGAGTTCTTAAGGGGATATTTATAACACTTATGCAAATGTCACATCGTCAATGAGTAAGGAATGAAGTGGAGTTTGTGACAACGCATCCCACATGATAGAAAATAAGAGCCGAGAGTTTCTTACAGTGGCGGACGCACGTTTAAGGGGTAGGGGGCCTGGGCCCCCAACAACATTTTAACACCAAAGCCCCAAAAAAAAAATTTACTTGTATTTTTAATTAAGTGTTGTTTGGGCCCCCAACAATATTTGACAAAGGCCCCTCTACTCTAACTCTAAGTCTCTAACCTGCACACCAGTCACCAGCACACGGGAACGAGAGAGGAGGCGAGAGCGAGACAGACCGCAGACGCAGAGAGCCAGAGAGGAGGCGACTGGCGACTGGCGAGACCTTGCCACTGCGACGACGACTGTCGACTGGTGCTGCCGCCTGCGACCTGCACGAGAGGAGGCGAGACCGCGAGAGAGAGTCGAGACCGACGACGACTTGGCTCCTGGCTGCTTGCTGCCTTGGTAATTGGTAAGTAAATATTCTAAATTTCTAATTCTAATTTCCATCTTCAAGTTTTCAATTAGTAGTATTTTAGGTTAATTTTGTGGTAATTGGTAATTGGTAAATACTTTAGGTTAGGGTTAGGTATTTATTTTATGTTAATTTTGTGGTAAATGGTAATTGATAAATGCTTTAAGTTAGGTATTTATTTTAGGGTAATTTTGTTGGTTAATTTTGTGGTAATTGGTATTTGGTAAATGCTTTAGGATTTAGGTTAATTTTGTTGGTTATTTTTGTGGGTAATTTTGTAGGCAATGCATTTGTAGAGTCAATGCCTAGCTTATTTCCACCACATTAGTTATCTTTATTCGGTTAACCGAACAGTTTAAACCTGAAAATGGAAACCCGAAACCTTTTTTGGTTCGGACGAATTGTTCGGTTTCGAAATTTTTTCGACCCTCCTAAGTGTGCCCCCAACCATAATAGTTTCTAGATCCGCCACTGGTTTCTTAGGCCTTAAGTCGTAAGCTTTCAATAACTTCCATTGTAGTTTTTAGTTAGAGATGGTTTAGAAGTTTTTGGACTAGTCGAATAGGTTTCGGGGTGTTCCATCTCTCGGGTTAACTTATAATACCCCCACCATGTGTCATTTAAGTTGCAACTGTCTAAGCAAAAAGTGGATATGAGTTTGGTTTTTTTTTTCCTGGATATAAAACAACTAGTCGAGGTACGTTCTACTAGTTCAAGTCTCGATTAATTGTTTATTGTGGTTTAGATGTGTAAAACAAGTTTATTGATGGATTCTCCGTTTGAAACAACATCCTTACGTTGCTTTTTGCTAATGAGCAACGGCCACCATGAACAATAATGGGTAAGACCTGGGGTGGATCTAGCCCTTAAGGACGGGGGGAAAGACTTCAAGTCAAAGACCAAACGTGCATGGTTTCCCCCCAGTCCTATATGACCATATGCTTGCCTCCCCAAGTCCCATCCAAAATGCCCCCACCTCTTTAATTTCTTGGATCCGTCACTGAGTAAAACCACATAGTTGCAATGATGTCAACTTCATTAACTCCTTGTATTAGCATTACAATGTTTAAGAAAATACTAGGAATTAAAAGTAACAAATAAATCAAAGAAAACCCTAACACATAGAAGATTGGGCAGTTGGTTGTGGGCTTAGCAGGATATGGGCAAAATATTGCGTCAAGCAGACTTGGGTTGGGCTTTGAGGTGCTAATTCTGAGCCAATTTAGGGGCCGTTTCCCAAACACTTACCTGAGTAAGTGCTTATCAAGTCAAGTTAACTCACTGGATAAATATGATAATGACCAAAAATTTTACCCGGTAAGAGCGAGACAAGGAACATAAATCTTACCATGTAAGTGAGAGTGGCGACTCTTACCACGGTAAGCGCTTACCGGGTAGATTGTTGCATAGGATGTTGTTTTGGTAGACTAAAATCTCACCTGATACGTAAATAATAGTGTTAAATTTTACCGGTAAGCACTTACCGGGTAAGTGTTTAATAAACAACCCTTTAGAGTTGGGGTAATTCCTTCTAATGTTGTTGGATTTCGACCATTAGTTTGATGAAAAGCTTTAGAGGGATTTGAATTTAGTTGAAGAATTATAACCATAAGGATTTGGGATTGAAATCATTTTAAATTATTCTGTTCGGTTTCTATTTTGAAGGATTTGAAATTGGAATTCAATTTTTTGTTAAATATTTGTTTGTAAAGTAAAATAATTTGTTTGTTTAGAGGCGACAACAAACTTGATGAAATAGACGGGGTAAAGATGAGATGAAAACAATCGAAATCCATGGGATGGATTCAGAATGACAGCATCTCAAATGGAGTTCTAAATTCATCCATTGTGGGATTCACTGAAATCTCGTGATTTCAAATCCAAACTTTTCTTCAATCCAAACATGTCGTATGAATGGAATTCAAATTTGAATCTTACCAAACCCCACAAACCGAATGGGCATATATTTCTTTTTTCTATCATGTGGTATCCTTTTCGTCATATCTTAACATCAAACAGTAATACCATAATCAATGGTATATAAATACCAGTTATGCAGAAATAAAACTAAATTAGTTTCATAGCAGACACGATATTTCATTAATCCAAAACTAATTTCAACTATGTATGAGTACAATTTGATACACATCTCGCCATTTTTAGCACATTCAATAGCAATCTGATTGGGAAACGACTTGGCTATTGGCACTGTTACACATGATTAGAGAAATCGAAACAAACTCTATAAACAAAGGCATTAATACTTTATCGTTTTATTTAAACAATAATTTCAAACGACTACTGCAACTTTGTCAAATCTATATAGGTTTGAGTTGTCTCTAGCTAGGCCCCAAGTGGTTGCCAAGGTTAGATCATACATCACCTCTAGCTTTATCATGGGCTAATATGCCCTAAATGGTGTCATTAAAATGATTGTATACAATTATTGTTAAGAAGATACCGATGCTACCAAATCCTACCAGAAACGCTTCGATTTGTAGCAACCGTAATGGTCCATGCGAACACGTAAGACTACCCTAATATCATGCAAAAGAAGAAAGAACATTAATTAGAACTTCTGTGAGAAGGTTTTCCAGGACAAACATTTGTCGATCAAGTTAGTTTACAGTAGAAGTGTTTGTTTGGTGAAATACAGAGAGTTCTTTTTAGCAATAAAAATGCGATAGCCATAACTGTATTTTACTTATTATGTGAGGTATGTTTCAACAAAACTACATTTCAATACGTTGGTTGGGTGTAGTGGTATATACCCTTTGATGACGCAATCTTGTCCCCGTGATCAACTAGTGGGTGCGCCATCTAACATGTGTTCTTCCTTATTCTTTTGGGGAAATTGGTCAAAATAGTCATTCCTTTGGTCTCCTAGCCATTTCTCTTCCTGATTTACCCAAATATCATTATCTCCGTAAGTAGCACGTCCCCCACCTACGGACCTAGTTAAAAGACAAAAAAAAAATTGTAGACTTTGTCATCGTAATAGCGGACCTGGCCGTCGCAATTGCTGACAAGAGTCAAATCTGATATTTTTTTGTCTTTTAGCTGGGTCCTCAAGTGGCGGATGTGAGATTTGCGAAAGTGGTGATATTTGGGTAAATCAAGGAGAAAAATGACTTAAAGATCAATTTATGTGAGAGAAATGACTATTTTAGCCAATTTCCCATTCTTTTGTACCTTGACTGGACTATTGTTTGGTTCTTTGTGTCGTCTTTTCTTTTAATTACCATGTTTTCAGATCGAATGTGCTTTGAGCAATTAGCTCAGTTCCATTGTAGGTCATAATGGTATTAGACTCATTCGTTTGTCCACTCCAGGTTACACCATTAGAGACAAAAGAGAATATGTTGCAAACATCGTTACAAATTTATGCACGTATTTTCATATTTCAATAATTTCATTACATCTCTCCAATTCTCCAGATGTATTTATTTCCCCTCATCAGCAGATTTCTGCTCCCTTAAACAAAACCATAACTTTCCAAAAAAGGAGTATACAAAAACATGCCCTTGATGGCTTCGCCTTTAGATGCAAAGTAAAAAGGGGAGAAAATAATGGGTAAGAAAAAAAATTATATGGTACAAAAAACCCAAAAAATCACAAAAAAAAAAAAAGAAAAAGAAAAAGAAGAGACAACTTTTATCTCTTACAATGGTCGGAATTGGTAGAAAAGAAACCAAGACGTAAAAGGTGCATCACGGGTCAAGATCCAGAGATGATATGTAGGTATAGGAACTCATTCCATGTGTCGGGTAAACCTGGTAAGCACCAATGGATACAATCTGCATAAACAATGGGATCTGCCTTTTGCTCGGCAGTCAACAGTTTGCCTTGGCGAATAGTGTAAACTGATGTGTGTGCATCTTTCCGGTACTCTGAAAGAGTAGTTATGTTGAGGAAGTGCACATGGAGTTTCATTGATTTAGTTACATTGGTTGCAACTGTAAAGAGTCGTCGATCAGTACCCACGTTTGGTGGTGTGGACGTGTTTAGGATCGGCCTTGTCTCCTTGGCACATTTGATGCCATCAGGGTTGTTCCAGTCCAAGCTCCTATTGATTATCATTCATTATAACCGGTTGCAATAACTTACAATATACGTATGGGACACATTTCTTGATGTGATATAGTTATTTTACATAAAATCCAAATTACCTTTTAAAAATCAAAATTATGTAGTGACCATCAATTGTTTTTATATAAAAATTAATTTATCTCTATGCTAAGTACATACATGGTTGAAGTGTCAATGTATAAGTGTCAATGTATTGCTATATGCATGGTTGAAGTGTCAATGTATAAGTGTCAATGTATTGTTATATGCATAGTTGAAGTGTCAATGTACAAGTGTCAATGTATAAATGTCAATGTATTGTTATAGGTCCACCAACCAAGGGTGTGTGGTGTTAGGATGTGTTTCAAAAAAGTGATTATTCTGACTTGAAATTACAGTAATTGTTTTGCAGTATTTGACAAAATAATTTTAATTATGAATTTCTGATTCTTTTCAACGTTAAGATAATCAGATTTGATAAAACCTTTAAGAAACAGTAATAAAACTAACTTTTTAAGGAATTTATCTAACTGTCCTGAACTTTCAAATTTGCAAGAAAACTGATTTGGTAAAATAGTAGCGGTACATCCAAGGGTACTTGTCAATTTTTCCCTGCGTATAAATAACCCATGTCATGTAAATATTGTACAATAAGTTAACAAATTTGACATAAGCAATGTGTTCTTTTAGAGTGTGCCAATAATACTGTAACATACTGGATTGATGTGTTATGCATATAATTACTTAATGAAATCAAAAAACTTACTTGATATGAATAGGGGACATACTGTTGAAAAAGATCATGGTTCGATTAGGGTTTACATTTGTATCAACCCACTCGGCCCATGTCTTCAACACTCGTGCATACGCAATAGGCCTTTCGACTTCTTCATACTCGGTTGCTCCTTCATCAAATGATCCTCGCCTATTTCATCAAAAAATTTATAATTAATTCACAGATATTTAAATCATTGTACATTGTGAACTGTAAAAGAAAACGTAAATTCTTGGGAATAATGCTTACAGGACTTTCATGTTAATAGTGTTCATCCACCAAATATATGTATTGAAGACCAAATAGTCAACATTTTTCCAGTTTTGACCATGTCTATCGATTGATTCAGGCATGATGATTCTGTTTAATATACTGTGCATCTCAGGATCATCAGAGTTTGATTCTACAATAAATGGAGCCCAATAAAATTCTACCGTCGCATTATACTCCTGCAAAAATACAAAATCAATCATGGCTTATTTTTCAAGGTCACACATAGTACATTTTATAGATATTTTTAAGAAACAACATATGATTTATCACAAGTTCAATGAGATGCTATGCTTCTAAATTAAAAAGCATATATATCAAAATCAACACAAGTGTCTGATTGGTTTGAGCTTGGCTCCAAAGATGAAAAGTATCAGGAGGTCACAGGTTCAAATCCAAGGAGGAATAAAAATCCCCTTGTGGCCACGGAGGTTCAAATACGGTAACTTCGGGCTATCTGCAAAGCAGGTGGTCGCACTGGGATTAGTCGGCTAAATCAACACATCTATCATCTTATAATGATTACTAATGACCACTCAATATTTGAAACAAATCTTGCAAAATGAAAAACATGTATTTATTTTAAAATAACACAATAATATTTTTTTAACATAAAAAATGTGACGGTTGACTTGATATATAATTTAATAAAAAAACATTTCACCCCTTTTCTACTTCTTTCCTCTTTGGATCCAGCCCTGTACCTTTGTGGCTTCTGCTATCGCTCATGATCGGTACATGAATCTATGTAGTAGTCAGCCTTCTTAGAACTTCTTCAAAAAACGATTATATCCCTTTTCTACTTCTTTTCTAATACTTTCTAAGCTCTTTGGATCCAGCCCTGTACTTCTATGGCTTCTGCTATCGCTCATGATCGGTACATGAATCCTTCTATGTAGTGGTCAGCCTTCTCTAAAAACGACTGGTCGTTTCCCTGATATCCCTTTTCATTACTAACCTTCCTTTGTATAAGAATAATTCTAAAAGATAAAGTATAAAGAAAATCATTATTTGTGGGACCAATTGCTTTTCTCATAAAAAGAGTTCACCAAATGTTAGACATCATTATGAACTACGACCACAAAAGCTACAAGAAATTAAGGTTTTTTTAGAATAACCAAACCCAAGTGGCATTAATCCAAAACTTTAGACTAGTGCTGTTTTTTTTAACCTGGATATTCAACCCGTTATGCGAGCCGACTAATTCCATGACAACCACCTGCTTTGCAGATAGTCCGGAGTCACCGTATTTGAACCTCTGTGGCCACAAGGGGATTTTTATTCCTACTTGGATTTGAACCTGGGACCTCCTGGTACTTTTGACATTTAGATCAAGCTCAAACCAATCAGACACCACCCTTGTGGTTGACTAGTGTTGATTTTAAACACGAAAAAAAAAACGAAGATGACCTCAAAAAAGTTGAACTCAAAACTCAATTAACATATTGTGTGCAATTTTGTTTTCATGGTCGTTTTACAACTTTATCGTTTCATCTTTTTAACCATGGGACGGTACAATGATTAATAAAGATAAAAGAAATGATAAAACTAACTCAGATATAAAAGTAAAACCAACAGTTATAACTTGTCATGTGATTAGTTTAGACGAGGTTTAAAAGTAAAACGAACAGTTAGCTTAGACGAAGTGTAGAATCACATATTTAAAAAACAGTTATATTTCAAATGAATAAATAAATGCTTTCTAATTCCTAAAATCCGATAGTAAAACATCTTTCAAATAGTTTATTATGTCAAAAGTAAATATAACAGAAACAAAATCAATTTTGGATCAAGAATTTTAATTTCTAGAAGTAATTCAATCTGAACCAATCCCGAATTAATTCATTATGTCATTATCGTCAACCACTATATATATATATATATATATATATATATATATATAATATGATGCAAATGAATACTTGTAACTATATCTGTATTTTTTTTCTAATAGTATGATAAAAACGTGTACAATAAATAAATAATAAAACATCTCGTCACGAACCATTTTTGGGCTACTTTGTTCAAATAACAATATTCACTAATTTTGTGTACTATACAATCACATGGCATTGAAGCATTTTATTAAATTAAAGTAGTTAAAAATAATGAAAATTAATAATTTGTCAACTCAATAAAATTGAGTTTATAAAATAATATTATAATAATTGGTTTATTAAAACAAAAAATAAAACGTCTCATCTAAAAACATTAATAGAACGTTTTTTGACGTAGTAACAAGTTTTTTTAGGAAACTTAAGTACAAAAAGACACATTAGCAATTTTATTGGACATTTTGAGAAAGTGTCTTGTAGACATTTGTTTCAACACGACACTTTTTCAAATAGTGTACTATAAAATTGTTAATATTATGCTTTGTATTAAAAATGTCCGAAAAAACTTGTTAAAACTTGAAAAAACGTTCTATAAATTTATTACAACATCTTTAAATATGACACTTTATTTTTTAGTCTTATAAATCAATTCTTATAAAGATGTCTATTAAGACCAAAACAGAGTGATTGCCATTTGACTTTTCAACCCATTTGAAATTGTTAAATCCATGAGTAAACATTCTATATTGGTATTTCTGGATATCCAACCCGTTATGCCAACTGAATAATCCTAGAACGACCATCAGTTTTGCAGATAACCCGAAGTCATCGCATTTAAACCTCCGTGACCCACAAGGGGATATTTTAACAAGAAACTTTGCATGCTGTCAACTTCAAACAGATTTGAGAGAAAGAGAGAAAGAGGGAAAGAAAGAAACCTCGATTCTGAAAATGGAAAGAGACCCAATTTTATCCAATCTCTTTCTTCCAGAACTAACGACCGATTGAACCAAACACACCATTGATTCCCACTGGTTTCTGTTCAATGAATCCCCAACAAACATAAGCCTCTTGTTCTTCAGTTTCTCCACCAACACTTTCGCTCTAAACCTTCATTTTCCCCCAAAACAAAATCATACCCAGTTAACAACATCAAATTTGAACTCAAATTTCAACAAATTAAACCGTGTCTTACTTTGGCAAATCACAATCTTTAGGCTGCCACCTCCAGTTCTGATACATAGAATCTTGTCTCCCGTTTTTCATACACGTCACCTGTTCTGTCAGAAACTCACACTCATCTTCTTTGTATAAAGGGTGTGTGTAATTATCAAAAACCCAATTCCCATCGAAAACATCGCAGCTCTCCGGTGGAAATTCATCGTCTTCCGCCGCAGCATCCACCGGCGATTCTGTTCTCGGTTGCTCATCATCTATTCCCGGATTGACGTTTGGTTCTGGAAGTGGGCTTTCATTACGGGTAGAGAATGGGAACTCCGTTAGGGATTTGACGCCTTGATTATAGATAAGGATTCCGATGAGAAATAGAGAGAAACAGAGGACGGAAAGAGAGAGGCGTTTATTGTGGCGGTGGTTCATGGCGGCGCCGGTGGAAAGTGTTGAAGGTGGAGATCAATGGAGAGCTACATTTATGGGGGAATTAAGGATTGGGATTTGGTGAGAGGTGATTGTCTGTAAGGAATTAGGTGGATGGAATGTTGATTTACTTGAAGAAATCAACTGGTTCTAACAACTTCTTCCTTTGATCTTCATTTATGGTTCTAGAGAGAGAAAGTGGGAGAGGAGTGAGAAGAAAGGTTTGTGTTGTGGAGTGTTTTCAAATCCGGTGGTGAGAGGTATTGTTTCCAAATTAATGGAAGTTTCATATTTTTGTTTTCTTTCTCTTTTTGTTAATTTTTTATTTTTTAAAAAAAGGAATGGGTTTGGTTTCGAATATAACCCAAAAAGGGTTTTGACCAACTATACAAACAAGATTTGACAACGTTAACTGGGGCCAAAAAAAGGATAAATCTATATTGAGATTTTATTAGAAAATAGAGTAAAAAAGATTTAAAGGTAATTTGACATTTGTCGAATGATTTGGTGCAGAATGATTAAGTAGTCAGAATTATTAAAAGACTTTCATGATATAGTGAAAAATGAAATATAATTGTTTGGTAATTATTTACAATGAAATTATGATGCTTAATGGTTAAGGAAAGCTCAAGATACAAAACAATTCAGAAGGTTTTAGAACCATTAAGAGATAGATTTTTTTTTTCTAAACAAGATTCACCTCTTAATGATACAAAAGTTGTCTCTTAATAGAACTATTAAGATGTAAACAAACAACCTCTAAACTACAATTAGGGTAAACTACAATTTTGCTCTCTATTTGTTTCTACAGTTTTAGAATATTATAAGATGACTATCTTGGTTTGTAAAAACGTTAAGTGACGGTCGTTATTTTTGTGTGTGTGTTAAATTAGGGTTATTTTTATCATTTTATTGATTTTTTTTGTCCTTTACCTAATCAAAAACCTTAGAGATTAAATCATAAAATCGATTTTAATCGGTTAAAAAATGAAAATGTCCCTTAATTAATGGAGTATTTTAACGATCGTTAAAGACAGAAATCAAATCTGGATATTATTGTAATTTTAAATCTACATGAATAACATAATGTAAATATAATCTAATAAACATCAATCCATTATAAAAATGATATATTTATTATTAATTAAGATGAAATGATATAAGGTGGAAGCCATCACACGTGGCCTCATAAATTCGGGAACTGGAAGTGTCTGCCTTTATGGCAATATTTGAGGCCATGACGCCATGTGTATTATTATTTGTATACAACTGCATGATTGGCTTAAATGTAAACTTTTATTACAAATTTATAATATAAAATTAATTATTTATTTAAAATATCTCAAATTTAAATTTGAGTAAGATCGTAATCATTTATAATCATACATTAAATATGTTAAATTATTTTAAACTTTTTCAGGAAATGGATCAAGGAAATGTTCTGCTGAATTTAAACGTGTTTTTATCAGTTACTTTTGCAGCGTTCGACAATGAAATTTTAAGAAATCATATGTATATAATAGTAATTTGTAATAAACGTGTATAATGCTTAATATATCATTTTAAAGGTTTTACTGAGTGTTTTGACGTAAAAAAATATATGTTGACACATGGGGCATGAGGCATGAGGCATGAGTTGAGAAGTTGTTTTGTTAATTTGGTGAATTTTGATTGGAACTAAATTGATCAAGGACTACGGTTTTAACATGAAAATAGTTAGGGACGTAGATTGGGGAAAATATTTGTTTTAATCATAATGTTTCTTTTCAATGTATGCATACTGCGAAAGCAAGTATGCGTCTTCGTTTAGGAAACTTTTTTCACCTCGAAAGAGGGTTGAAGTAATTTTACATAACAAATCCTCATCATTACTGAAAATCCGAAGTTAACATTACCTGATATTCATCATCTCTTTTTTATCGTCTCGACATTCTTTTATTCTATTTTTTTAAATCAAAATATTGATGATTTGCTGTAGCTAGGCCATAGTCTAGAGCGAGTCTATGTTTACTCCATCGTCTTCTTGTGATCGACCCGTATGCTACACATCCGTACACTTGCGGTATAAATTTCTTTTAGCCAACACATGGCCTTTATCGAGTGTTTCTCTCCAGAAAAAGTTGGGGGTTTACACGTCAGAAACATCTTAATATCACCCATTTTCTCATTTTAAGTATGAACTTGCGGATTAATTTCCACTCGTTTAGTTTCTACTATGGCAGGTATTCCCAATATAGAGGTCAAGGTATTTCGTAACTTACTCATTTTTTCTGCGAGCATATCCTGAGTAACGTACTCAGGATGTTGAATCTGTTCCTCATTAATATTTTCTTGAATGGATTCTCCTTGTTCTGGATGAACCTCAAGATGAATAGTTCGCCCTCTTCCTCTGCCCCTTCCCCAGCCTCTCCCTCTCCCTCTACCTCGATCAATAGGTAGATTTTCTTGAACATATTTGGTGAACTCTCTCTTTCATCCAGGCTTATAAGAGCAATCCTTTCAAATCTTTTGAGTGACTTGCCATTTGAAAATTTGCAAAATTTAATATTCACATAATCACATTCCCCAAATATAATAAAGTATCCAAGCACAAATATGTATCTGTAAACCCATGATTACATTAACCAGTTGTAATTTGAATTTACCTTACATATTGTTTTTTTAACCCATCATATTTATTCCAAAGGTTCTACAAATGTCAGAGACCCTTAATATGCAAATAATACAGTTTAAGTCTAGGCATCATGCTGAATACCTAAATCTCTTAAACTCAAGCTCTGATACCAAACTTATAACACCCCAAATCCATATTTGCATAAAGCCACATATTCCATTTAACATGAAATTCAAAATATACACATTGGTTCTAAATGTACAACTTGCTACATTATAAAAGTAGCTACAAGTTTTTCATTTACATCAAGTACATGACTTACATACATATCAAGTTCTCAAGTATATGTAACATAACAGCTTCCATAAATCCACATATGTAAAACAATCATAATTTCTTCATATTTTTTCCTTTCCCTTATCCTCAAAATGTGTCCGACTTGTAATGCATATTTTAGAACACAAATGATGGTTAGACCATAAGGTCTAGTGAGAAATCCTTTTTGATTGCTATTACAGGGTGAAAGTCACCAAAACACTTTTATAAAGCTCATATTTGTATTAATAACAAATAAACAGTATTTTATTAAAGCAAACCTCTTTGCCCCATCATATAGATGAGATAACTTCATCTTATCACATCATGACCCATTGAATTCTCAAACTTATCGCATTTAAATAAACAAATAATCGAGTTGTCGCATCCCACATGTAATACACCAACTTATCGCATCACACTGATGCGATAACACATTTTTGTCGCATCATAAACATGCGATAACTACCTTGTCACATCTCAAGGATGCGTTAATATTTCATCACACCTCATTGATGCGACAATATTTCATCGCACCTCATTGATGCGATAACCCAATCTTATCACATCACAAGGATGCGATAACATCCGTTTGTCGCATCTCATTGATGTTATAAACATACTTCTTGCATCATACTGATGCGACAAACTCATCATATCACATCCTTGAATAACACTTCAATTTTCAATCCCAATTTCATCACATCACACACATGCGATAAAATGCGATAAAATCAACCTCATCGCATCACACGGATGTGATAACAGATTCCCATGATCAAAAGATCATCATTTCTAGAATTTGATTATGTCACCCTTATTTCAGTATACCCAACTCTTGATTATGTCATCCTTATCACCAAATAATACTCATCTCTCTATTATACCACCCTTATTATAATCAGGTGATACTATCATATCAAAACCCAAAATTTTGTTAATAATAGCACAGACCACATTCAAATACCATGTATGAAACTCTACGGTTTCTTCACCAAAAACATATTAAATAATGCTTTTAAAATAAAACTCACATTATAAAACACAATAAATGAATATAATAAAAAAATAATCACGAAGGCAATTCTTCTTATTCTTCTCTTCTTCCTTCTGCTTTAGTTTCTGTTTTCTTCAAACCAGAGAGAAAAATGCATACACACACTTGTTTTTTTTAATTACCCAAACAAGAAATATCATGACACATCTATACTATATTATAATGCATTTGGCTAAAACTCTTAAAAACTCTTAAACTCTTAAATCCGTTCATCCCTATCCGATTTCATCCCATAACTGAATTCGTGTAACT